CACTTGGACGCTTGGATCCAACCAAGCCCACCCTCAGGATGTGCTAGTTATGCCCACTGGTAAACCCGTCCTTTTTGCTTTCACTGGTGTGAACCGGCTTCCAGTCACTTTTAACTGGACACAGAGTACACAGCTGAGGCTGTAGGTACGGGTGAGGCCAGGTCTTCTGCAAGCCCACAGCCTCTGCGTGCTGAGCACAGGGCCTGGCAGCAGCCAGGACTCTGTGAATTGATTTGAGATATATGCAAGTGACAAAGCCTGTCCATGGCACAGAATGGCAGGAAAAACTCAGCCTTTATCCACAGAGCAGGCGCAGGGTCTGGGGCAACCTGGCCAAGTCCTCCCCATCCAGCTGTGGGCCGTGAAGGGCCCAGCCCGGCCCAGCAGTGTGAGCGGAGGAGCAGCTATATCCCCTCCCGCACTGAGCCCACGGGGATGAGCTGCACACCCAGGAACCTGGGGCCCCAGTGCTGGCCCAGTGCCCTCTTAAAGGGCTTCCCTGAGGGCAAAGGACAATCTTCAGTAATTATCTGTGAGGACACAAAAGACACTGTAGGATATTACGTGACACGCCCTTTAACAGCCAGCTGGGGACATGTCTTGGTGCCAGTTGTGGTAATGAAATGCCACTGGGAGGCATTAACAGAAAGTTAATGAACGATACCACTGAGGGGTTAGACTAACAGCAGGAATTTAGTTTTTCACGGGTCTGGAGGCTGGAATTCCAAGATCCAGGTGCTGTGTGACCGGACACGTGTGCATACATCCCTGGTGTTTCTCTGTCCATGCTTCCTTTTATAAAGACACCTGTCACCTTGGATGAGGGCCGTCTTTTTGCTGACACAAAATACCTGATCTCCAAAGCTAAGGGAGGAAAGGTTTATTTAGCTCACAGTTTGTAGAGATTTCAGTTCACAATCGGCCGGCTCCAAGGCAGGGTGGCACATGGCAGAGGGGCAGCAGTTCATGGCAGTGAAAAACAGCAAAGGTAATGACAGGAGTAGGGACGGGGCTCTTTCTGTCCCTTAAATTGTGTGCAGGTTGCCCACCCTAGGGTAGGCATAGCACTCGCATCCTTAATCCCAGCGTTGGACCTATGAGTCAGTCACAAACTCTAGATTCAGCCAACTCTGAAAAGCCCCCCTCCCTGCCCATGACTACATGAGTCTCTGGGGGGGGGACATTCAGATGCAAACCATAGCAAGGGCTCACCCTAACTACCTCATTTAACTTAACCACCTTTCCAAAGGCCTTGTCTGCACTCGCAGCGCATTCTGGGTACAGCAGGCTCAGGGCTTCAACATGAGCATTTGAGGGACACAATTCAGCCCTTAACAGGAAACCGAGCTCCCTTGCACCGCTGCCTCTGCCCCCTCTCCGCTATCTCACCCCCCAACTACTCTTTGTGGTCCCCTAGGCTGGGCTCGCGCCCCTCCTTTCTCAGGCACAAGAAGTCCACACACCTGCAGCTCCTTCCTGTGAGGTCAGCTCACCCCGTACCTGCCTGACCTGGATTACTCAGAAGAAGATACTCTGGGCACAGACTGCAGGCAGTGACCGGAGAGTCTGGGGGCACAGGGGGACCTGGTGACAGGCGAGAGCAGAGTGGGGCAGGAGACGATGGCAGCTAGAGATTAGGCATTGCCCACCGCTGACATGAAGGACTCTCCATACCAAAGAAACAATAAGCATTTTATTTTATTTGCCCCAAGGCAGCAGAGACGGTCTGCAGAGGGACATCCTTTTCCGAGGCTGCAGGTCTAAGCGCAAAGCTGGCATCTCACGTGTGCTCATCGTGTACCAAGCTCTGCTGCCGCCTTACACACTCCACACACACGTGGCAAATGTGTTTAGCCCCCACGGCCCTGCTGTCTCTCACCCCGTTTTACAGACAAGGACTCTGAGGAATAGGGACAGTAGGGACAATTCTTCCTGGGCCACACATTGCAAACCCAGGCCACTCCGAGGCTGCTCTGGCTCCCAGAGGAGAAGGTGGGACAGGGACTCACAGGACTTTGCATGTTCCCAGCTGTGGAAGCTGGGCCTGGATCCCCAGTTCCCTCCTGGCAGTGTGGGAGCAACACCCCTTCTCGCCTCTGCTTCCCAGAGCAGCTTGCTGAGTGGCTGCCCTGCACCCCCTGAGCCGCCATGCCTAGCACACAGGCAGGAGCTCCTCTGTTAAACTGAAACTTGAATTTCCTTTGCCAACAACATGCAAGACTGCAAGCGGGTCACTTCTGTGACCATCGCAAACACGATCCCGTCACCCACCATGACGCTCCTTCCTATTTCCCTCCAGTCCTTGTCCCCTCCACCCTGGCGATTTATCAAAGCCCCTCAGAAGCGACCCGCCAGGACCCTGACCAGCAAGAGAAACCAGAGCATTCCCCGGGGCTGCTGATGTTAGATGAAGTCACTGTTCTCAAGCCGGCCCCCAGGGGAGAAAGCAAGGAGGGCAGGGCCATCCTGGCCCCTGGGACCTGGTGAGCTGAGCACAGGTGCGGCACTGGAGGTGCAGATCCTGGAACTCAGTGACTCATTCATCTCCACTGATGCCACCCAGATGAGAGCGGCCACAGCGTTCCAAAGATGCAAGAAAACCTCCCTGAGTCCAGTGAGCCGGGCTGGCCTGGCCCCCATCTCAGAGGTGGAAGGCGCTGCAGGATTTCTGCACTGGGAAGGCTGGGTCTGCCCACTGAAAGGTCCTCATGCTGCGGCTGGAGCAGGTCCTCTCAGAGTCCAGCTGTGAGTAAAGAGAAGTGAGAAATCACACCCCAACCGGAGAGAGTCAGGCTTCCAATCTGGGCTCTCTGCAGCCCAGAGGCAAGGTGCCTGACACAGACACCTGCTTAGGGAGTAGACGGGCAACGGGCAAAGGAAATGCCGTCGAGGGCCCTAGGTTGAGAATCAAGAGAGCTGGACTTGCAAAAGAGAAGAGGACCAAGCGCTGGAGGGAGGCTGGAGGGAGGGTTAAGAAAAGAATTAAAATGTGTTTTGTACGTGCACCAGCTGCCCATGAGGAATGTAATCCCTCTGTACTGCAAATGTGTATGAGAGAGAGAGAGACAGACAGAGAAGCCAGTCATGGTGATACACATCAGTAGTTCAGCACTCAGGAGGCTGAGGCAGGAGGATCACCAAGAGTTCCAAGCCAGCCTAAGCTTCATAGTATGTTCAAGGCCAGCCTGAGCCACATAGAAAGACTCTGTCTCAAAAAACAAAACAAAACAAAACAAAACAAAACAAAAAAAAAAAAAAAAAAAAAAAACCAGTGCGGTAGGGAGGGAGAGGGATGAGAAAAGGGAGAAGGAGAGAAAGACTGAAAGGCTGGTTCTTACCCATAACTCCCACAGGGCGAGGCTGATCTCAGCTCCCTGGCCTTTGTTCTCCTAGTCTGTCCTAGTCTGTGCAAGGGACATGTCTGACCCTAAGTACTGAGCTTCCTCAGCTGCACAGCCCGGGTCCTCTGGCAGCACCCAGGCCCCGGGTCCTCTCTCTGCCCTCTCATTCCGGAGCAGCACAAAGGCTTCCTGGCCAGCTCTCCCCAGGGAAACTGAGCCAGTGATCTTGAGACAGGCGCCCTCTGCAGAGCAGGAGCTCCACTGAGCACATGGAGGCATAGCCTGTGCCCTTCCGTTGTCTGCCCCAAACCCCCCCCCCCCAGTGAGCGCCAGCACCCAGTGGATGGAAATCCCATGAGTACCAGCGCTGGCAGCTTCTACCTCGCAAAATATGAAAGACTTTACAGGTGCAGGAATGTAATAGGACAGTGGTCCCCGATGGTCACATCTTGTACGACCTCACCCACTCACCAGGCCAGCGGGTCCCACTGCTGGCTACTTAACGGCTTTACTTGGGTGCCCCTAACACCCCTCTTCTCCTCCAACACTCTCCACGGTGACACATCTCCATGTTCCTGTTGTCTCCATACCACTGGGACAGTTTTTCAGGCCCTGCTATGTTTGGTCACTTCTCAGCCCTGACTGTCTCCTAGCGTCCCTGGGAAGTCGTGGAAGGGCACCAAGGCCACAGCACTGATGACACGAGAGTCCCCCTTGGAGAAGGGACTCGAAGAAGTGTTTTTTCCTAAAGAGCCAGCGATTCTGGTGTGCAGCCAGCCGATCAGACACCTGCTTTCAAAGCGCCAGGAAGCCGGCTCAGTCTGCAGAGGGCTTGGTGCTGAGAGCTTTAGAAACAAGTGGCTGCTTCTAAATTAATTTTTAATGACACACGGGTAGAAAATACACCCTTATATAGTGCCTGCCAGCGCTTTTTAACTGTTTAATCAAATTAGAACATTACAGCTAAAAGTTAATCCCTTCTAATTAATCATCAATTATACTGTTTCCCTCTTTGAGAGATGCTTAACCATGTGACTCAGGCTTTTATCACCACGGGCATTTTTCTGTCACTGCAGGGAACTGTTAGGAAACCGGACAGACCACAGGAGCCCGTCTGCAATGCGCTGTTCCCTTTAAAACCTTAAAGATTCCTCCATCCGATGATATGGGAGCCTCTTATTCCTAGTATTTCATGGTTTGAAAGCAACCTAACTTACTTATATACGGGCACCTAAATTATTTGTAGGTTTCTGTGCTTGGAAGCCCTAGGCCATGCCTGTCCTTGGGTACCTCACCAAATATGAGTTGTCAGATGATGGCATTTAAATAAACCGGCCCCCTCCATATAAAGAAATGAGTATTTTTGAGTGGGAATACTGGGCCACCAAGGCTGTGATGTTTGTATTTTTTGCTTTAGGTGACACTGCCTTTTCTCTTCCAATTGATGGTCACTTTCTTCTCCCAGCAGCCAGGTGCGAGAGTATCCACTTCCCCCACATCAAACCTCTGATGTTCATCCTTAAGAGGTAATAAGTGTTATGTCATTATTTTAATTTTCATGGAAATGACTGTATAATAGGGTGTAAAACATCAGAGTTGACAGAGACCTCAGTGATTAGATTTAAAGAACTTTTAAAAAAGAATTTCTAAAAGAAACTGTTAAAGAAGAAATTTTTATTGTATATAAGTAATAGATGGACACATCATGCTAAAATTTTTAAATATATATATCACATATATATTTGTTATAGATTAAGAACTGGTGGTCAACTTAACGCCAGCAGAATTAAATCAGCATGTTGCTGAGCATAGATGTTCCACCCGAGGAAAATTGTATAAATAGAGATGTGGAGAAGGAGGAGTTGAGGCGTGGAGGCCTTGTGGGTTCCCACGAGTTGCTGTCTGAGCTGTTGGTTCTCCTGGAGAGGCTCTGGTCCTCACATCAAGCATTGCTTCCTGGCTCCAGAGGGGAAGACGTGTGCTGCTTGGTCTCCAGGATGAACTCGTCACGCTGGCTTCCTGGCATGTCCTTGACAGTGCTTGTTGTCAGAGGAGCTCGGGGCCTCCATGTCACTGAGGATGGCTGTGGTGCTTTTCAGGACAGACTGGTCTTTGTTGGGAGTGTGACTTCTCGGCTCCAGCATAGAACCCTCAATCTATCAGCACAGCTCCTTCACCCTGCTGGCATAGACTTTCTGGCTTCCACCACTGACCATTGGGCCTTCCCAGCACAGATCTGTGCTGTAAAAGAGACTGGTGTGAGTCCTTGTTGTGGGCTCTGGACCTCCAGATGGACTCGTGGGAGGCATTGACTCGGGTTCTGGGTCTTCATCTGGACTCGTGTGGGACATGGCTGTGGGATCCAGGCCCTTGGCTAAATATTCTATGTCTTTGGTGCTATGGACAGATTTCCTGCATTTTCTTGTGTTAACTCTGGGTGACCATCGTAAATAATATTATAAACTCCATGTCCTGACTTTAACTGTTCTCTGCACAACCCCTGACTACAACAATACTGAATGAAACATTAAAATCCTCTTTTGTATACTTCTCTGACTTCCTCACTGAGAAACAAACTGATAAAGATATATGGAATTGTAGGGGCTGGGGATTTAGCTCAGCGGCATAAGCACCTGCCTTGCAAGCAGGCAGTCGTGAGTTCGATCCCCGGTACCGATAAAAACGAAAAAAAAAAATATGTAGAATTGTAATGAGTAATTACATGTACACATAAAGACATCAAATGCACAGTGAGTGGTGATGATATTCCACACAAAAGAGGTGCAGCTCTGAGGTGTGATGGGAAGATTGGTAAATGTATAAATTTTAAAAATGTATTCTAGCAGAAGGACATTGCCCTGGACCCCTCTCAGAGTCCTCCCACCTGGCTCAGAGCACTTTACCCCATGTTCTTGCTACTTCCTGCAGTGGTGCTGGAAGACTTTTTTCCTGAGTGTCTTTAGTTTTGCTGCCACGGCCACCTCTACATCCCAAAGCAGTTCAAAACGTGGACCTTTCGGTGTCTCTTTGGTTCTGGGGAAGAGCCAGAAGTCACACAGTGCCAGATCCGTGGCTGAAGTGGGTGCAGATACTGCAGGCAACCGAGTTAGTTAGAAATATCATAGGCAGTGAGACAGGGATGGGTTCTCAAAGGAGCCAGAGCAGATACCTTACAACTGCAGGGAGGCAGACACCTCCTGCTGTGGGCCAGGCCTCAAGACAAAGGTCATACAAATGCATCCACATCCTAAAGACTGATATTCTAATTAGTTCTCTATCAGCCTGGAGTCACTATCCCATCCCCCTAGGGAAAAGGTCACAGCTCTAAGAATGCCAGCTTCCCAGGTGACTTGCTTTTCCATTTGTCCCTAATGCAATCAATTTTACCTGAACTATTGATCTTATTGGCTAACTATAGTTTTGTCCCACCTTATGCCCACCTGCTTTCTGAGTTCCCAGTCTTCCCCCTCCTTGAACCCAAGGTTTTGCTCTATAAAAGTCACTGGAAAAGACAAGAGTCCCTGACAACCGTCTCGGGACCCCTTCTGTCTCTCTCAGACAGAAGCTTTCTTCTCTCAGTAAATACACTCTGCTCTTAACCTCCGTTGTTCCTAAAATTCCTTCTTCGATTTTAGAGAACATGACTCTTACTGGACATAGTAGGCCGGCAGTCTAGTTCCCCTACATCAAGGACACGGCGTCTTGTTTTTAGGAGCCGTCTTTCTGACGGAGGGCGCTCAGCAGCACAGTGACCATGATTCTTAATGTCCCTCACAAAGACACTCACAGCAGAGGGCTTCCAGCATCGCTTCAGAAGGTGACAAGAACAAGCAGGAAGTGTATCAGAAGGGAAGTATTTTAAGGGGCGTTAATGGCAGTGTTTCTTTCTTTCTTTTTTTTTTTTTTTTACAGCAATGTTTCTTCTACTATAATGAAATTTTTCATTTAAATGTTCAGCACATCTGTTACCCCGCTTCTTATATAAATAGGTGTTTTTCTGCAATTCTTTTTCTCTTAACGAAACATCTTGAAATCTTCCCTTTTTGCAGCACCAGCTCTATCCGCTGTGTTAGCTGTTTCACCGTATTCCACAGCCTGGTGTGTCCGTCATCTATTGCTCTAAGTGCCCCCGCCCCAGCTGGCAGCTTCAGAAAATAGAAGCGCTGCCTCACCAAGCTGCCAGCTCAGGATCCAACAGCTCGCCTGGTAACTGGGGACCAAGGCCCGTCCTGAGGCCGCAGCCGAATGGTGGCCGGTGCCTTGAGCTGGGGCTTCGGATACAGCCTGTGGGAACTGCAAGCAGGAAATTTCTGGTCTTTAAAACTCTTCCTCCTTAAAATAAAAGATTATAGGAAGCAGGGAGACAGGTCTTTTGAAGACAGGCAGGGGGCCAGGAGATGGTGTGCAGGGAGAGAAAGAGGAGAAGGAGTGAAGGGCGTTATGTGTGTTTCCCAAACCCCCACCAAGAATGCAATCGTGAAGTCCTGCAGGCGAGGGCTCATCCAAATAACAAAATAGATGGGAAAAGTAAAACTGATCAGTTCTGGGAAAGCCTGATGGCCGGTTATGGGTTTACAGCAGATATAGTCTGTAATCCTTATGTTTAAACACTGACATTTTTTCCAGAGGCTCATGCAGTACTAGGGTCAATTCTAGTGCACACCCATACGTAGTGGACAAATATATAATACAATAAATTGCATTCGCATGCATGCATGCAATACCTGAGGTAGGGCCTCAAAAATAAGGACTTCTTAAAGGAGGAACGCACAGTAGGCTCTGTTCGATTCATACGTATGTGTCATTTGTTAATATATGTTCTTCACATACAATTAAGGAAAAATACAGGACCTGATGAGGGGGTTTACCTTCTTTAAGGCACTTTGTTACAGCAGCTGTCCTAGACACACAGCAGAAAGAAGGCTGGGGAGACGGCCAGGGGACACAGTGAAGTCCACTGTCTATGAGACGAGTGTCCGGTGCCTTTGAGACAACAAGGTAGACATGTAGTATGTGGACCTTAAAGAAAACCTGTAACTTTTTTCTCTCTTGGTTTCTACAGACAGGGTCTCACTCTGTGAGACTGACCGCAGTGTCACAGTGATACTCCTGCCTCAGCCTTCCTAGTGCTGGGATTATGATACCCCGCAGAGAAACCCATGACTTCTTACCAGAAAGGGACTTTGCCCAGAGGCCCCTGGCTTCCAGGAGAGAGTTCCTGGGCCACCACTGTTCCTCAGAATCCAAAGGACAAAGACTTACTCAGGATGTGACAAGTGTCTCAGCTGGACTCTGGCCCAGCGTGACCACAGTGCTGCTCATGGTGAGGCCGGGTGCAGGGCGATGGAGTGGCAGTCAGGGCTGACCCTGTACATCCTCCTCCCAGGGCCCCGCATTTTCCTCAGGAAGCTTCCTGCCCGCAGATAACTGCTCTGCCTGCCATCCAGCGGGCTCAGATTTATTTACTTTCCCTTCCTGCTAGGACTAGGGCCGCGCAGGTGGAAGGGCAGGGCTCCGCAAAGCTCCCAGGGGCTCCGGACAGCCTGGAATTTCCCCCGGACGCACAGGTGGCAGAGAAAGATAGGGTCTCCCAGAAGCCTGTACAGGGCTATGCCCTGTCTTCCTCCCACGACTTCTCCCCGGCCCCCTGAAGTTCCAACAAAGCCCTTATCAGACCCTGCCAGGAAGTGGGGCTCCCAATGGAACCAGGAGGCCCCCAAAGGCCATTGCAGCCCCCAGCATCTTTTATTTATTGGCTAATTTAAAGATTTCCATAAATGTAAAAGTGCCTGAAAATGGTACATTCAGCTTTAGGGGCAGGCTCCGCGTGGCCACGCCTGGGAAGTACCTCTGTCTCCTGCTTTGCCACGGTGTCAACACGTCATCCCCAGAGTTCCGCCCTCTTTGGAGTTGCTGCTTCCACACCTGGGGCAGGAACGGGGTACACAGGCGAGGTTCCGGGGAAGGGACAAGGTAGCCTGGGGCTGCCCCATATCTCTGCCCTGGGATGTGTCCGTTCCCTTCTGTGGACTTCTGTCCCCTCCTGTGAACACAGGGAATGAGAAGAGGTGCTTGGATGAGACTGAAGGCTCTCAGTCCACCAAGGCCTCGGAAGTGACCTCACATCCTGCTCTTGAGTCCAGATGAAAGAGGACAGTGGCCAGGTGACATCGGCTCAGTCACCTCTCCTCTTGCAACCAGAGCTCTACCAAGGGCTGGGGATGCTTGTGTCCACCGCCAGGCGTGGCAGGTAAACAAAGGACCTGACTCACAGAGACCAGCAGCCCCCATCCCACCTCTGGGCCACCAGGACCTGTGAGAGGGAACAGATCTTTCCCCACAGGTCTCTGCCTAGGTCTGCTGACACTTGGGGAGACCACAGCACACCAGGACACAACTGTGCCCAGGCCCCCTGATGCCACCCCCAACCTGTGCCCAGCATCTCTGCCAGCACCTCGGCCTCTCATCTGGCCACTGCAGCATGATGCAGGGACAGCCTGGCCCCGGGCCAGAGTCCTCACCATGTCACAGGCAAGCGTCCACGTGGTGGAGCAGCCCAGTTAGTGGGTGGCAGCAGATGCCTGGTAAGGGTTGGCAGATGTGGGCTCTGGTCACCTGGGAGACCCAGGACGTGCTCACCAAGGAGTGGAACAGGAAGACACAGTCTGGGTTCCCCAGTTGGACAGTGTGATGCCCTGTAAGGACACTTGTGCTTGCTGTACCCCTCTTCCAGAAGGGCCGTAAGCTGCCCACGGTCAGCAAAATATTCAAGGAGGGCTGACCTAGGCAAAGCTACAGCTGCTGGGAAGCCTCTCTGGCAGGATGACCACCCCGAGAATGTACAGAGCTGTGGGCAGGGATGCAGGGAGGGCACAGGGTGGCCTTTAGGGACTGTTAGGCCTCTGCCAGCATGTCTGGGACACACCAGAGTCCTTTCACAGGCATCTCAAGAAGGGACATAGGGAAGCCAGGACCTGCCCAGGGAGACAGAGGGGATCCCACTGCTGCTTCGGTGGGTCAACTTCTGGAGTCCTCAGCAGCAGAGATGGCCCAAGCCCTGGACACGTGTAAAGCAAGAGGCATGGCTACCTTCTGAGCTCCAGCCTGAGGAGCAAGGAAAAGACTCTTTAAGTTGTCCTTTCTAAAAGGGAGGGAATGTGTCTTTCTCCTTTCTTTTTGTTACTTTCTAGTAGCCAGAACATCTATATTATGGCTGGAACAGAGCAGCCTTTTTGGGCTGTGAAATAAGGCTGGAAATGAAGCTATATTTAGAAAAGCAACTAAGCAGACAGATGCTGTGTGTCCAGGGGGCACTGGCTGGGAACCTTCACGGAGTTTCCCACAGGCATCTCTGGGTACAGGGCTCCATCACACTCTCCTCCAGGACGGGCTCATGGCTTCCTGAGCTTGGGTCATCAGTGCACAGCAGGCCATGGAGCTGCCCTATTGGCCCACCTACCTTCTAATAATTCTTCCATGCAAAGAAACAGATTTTCATCCATTTAAACCATTGGTTATTAGGAATTTCTCTGGTAGTGATAGCCATTCCTAATGCTAAACAATGCCATGACTCAAGGAGCAAGAGACCGCCCCAGGCACCGCAGTCTGATCGAGCTCAGCCTCTCTCACTGCGCCATGAGGATGCCGGGTGTTCTGGGTGTGGAAGTGTGGATCTGGTTTGCCAGTGTAGCCCTTTCGTGTGCTTTCTGTTCTGTTTTCATGGTTTTTGCAGGACACGCCTAGGTTGGGACAAATTGCCAGCTAGGCCAGCCAAGTCATTTCGGCACTCCAGAGGCTGAGGCAGGAGGATCGCCATGAGTTAGAGGCCAGCCTGGGCTACACAATAAGACTTTTAAAGCAAACAACAGCAGTCTCGGCAAACCACCAAAACTGTAAAAGTTGCCAGGTGAAGGACGGGCGGCTGCAAAGGGAAAGCTCTGTGTCTACGTGTGACCTTCTCCAGGCCAGCGACAGGCGCTGCCAGGAAGGAGGCCAGGAATCCCTACTGCCCAGAGCTGGTGACCCAGGAGTGCGGGGCACAAAGAGATCCCCCACCACAGCATGGGGGGGCACCAACATGGGAGGGTGAGGGGTCCTGCAGCCAGGGTGGGGCCCCGAGGCTGCAGGCCCAGGGGATTCCTGTGGAGGACACAAGGAATCTAGAAAGGTGAAAGAAAAATCTGGCAGCCAGGCATGGTGATCCACGGCCATAATCTCTTCACTCAGGAGGCTGAAGCAGGAGGATCACAATGAGTTCAAGGCTAACCTGAGCCACATTAGGGGGACCCTGCCCCCAAAACAGAAATCAAAAGAAAAAACAAAAGAAACAAAGGATCTGGCTTCATGGTCAGACTATTTTGCTAATATTATTTTATTAAACCTCTCAGCATTCCCCCAGGCTGGGTGACAGGCAATTTCAGTTTTTGATGGGGTTAGAAGAGCCATTAGAGGAGAATTCAGATGAAATCCTGCCTCCCTGCCAGGAAGAAAAATCCTTGTCCCACACTGATGCTGGTGCTGCGGAGAGGGAGGCAGAGGGTTCTGGCTCAGGAGAGGAACTGCCCAGCAATACTACACCAGGCTCAAAGGCAACAAGTTGAAACTGTGTAAACTTTTGTTTGGCTTTTTGTTTTTTGAGATGGAGCCTATTTATGCAGCTCAGGCTGGCCTCAGACTCCCAAAGATCCTCCTGCCTCAGTCTCCCAAGAGCTGGGGTTACAGGAGTGTGCCGCCATACCCAGCTGAGCTGTGCAGCTCTTTAAGGGTCAAGGCCGGCATTTCTCTTTTCAACTGATAGGGATTTGGAACCAAGAGAGGGAAGCAGCTCACCCACAGTCACACAGCTGTCGATCACTTTGGGGGTTGGGGCAGGTGCGCCTGGGGAGAGAGGGCATCCACATCTGCTCATTGGCCTGCAGCCCCACCCACACTGCCTGCCGCTGTGCCCAGAATGAGGCCACAGGGAGTGGCCTCCCAGGGATGGCGACCCAGCAGCCACCTGGGAGTCTGGCCCGTGAGTAACTGCAGAACCATGGCCCTGGCGGAGAGAGGACACATGCAGGGTCACCTCCACAGGTCACATAGCCAGGGTGGTGGCCTGGATCCCTTGAGTCCTGGGCCTTGAGAGAGGGAGATAGAGATCGAAATAGGCTCCTGATAGATGGGGTGGCCCATATGCCTAGTGCCACACCCGGGCCTCTGGTGACAGCCCTGCAATGGGAACCTGGGGACAGCAGGTGCCCCGGCCTCTCAGCAGCTCTGGGCCAGGGTTTGCTGAGTGTTGTGGTGCTGGGGAGAGGTCCATGGTTGCCTGCCTGGCCTACAGTGGTGCAGTGCAATCCCCCACACAGCCGCCCCAACCTTTCCGGCACCAGAAGGATAAGGGGTCTGGGGAGTGTTTGGGGGAGGCTAGGGGGAGGGGCTCAAAGGCGAGTGCACCCTAGATTCCTTGGCTGCTCAGCCCATAGTGGGGTCCACAGTCCTATGAGACTCTCGGGATGGAAATGCAGATGCCTAGATCCTAACCAGCTGTGGACTGAGGGGGTGGGGGAGGAGGGCTGGGGAGTCCTGCTTCAAGACACCTGCCAGAAAGGCCCTCCTGCCCTTGTCACAGGAGAGGGGCCAGGTCTGATCGGTGACAGGTGGGACTTTCTGAGGCTCTTCTCTGCCCCCAAGCCGTTCACTCCCCTGCCAGCACGCCCCACGCGCCCCCAGGCCCTCGCCCCTCCCACTCCTGCCTGCCGTCTTTGATGGATCTGTACTCCTTATTGCTCATCTGCACAAGTGTAATCCTACAACTAATGAGAATCAAGTCAAAATGAGCATTTCCTCTCTGAGATCTTAAGCCAATCACTTTTCAGATGAGAGGCAGGCGCTGGGCTCAGCCACAGGTGGCCTGGAGAGCAGGCTTGGTGGCAGGGACCCCTTCTGGTCCCGGCCACTCCTCTTCCACCTCCCCACTGTTTAAGCACATGAGTCTGGGTGCACTCTAACACAGAGCCACAAGGTGGGAAAGGTGTTATTAGCATCCTGCTGAGGCCCCAGGAAGAGGAAGATAAGGCCCAAGGCCGGTTCCCAGGCTTCTGACACTGCAGTCCTGGGAGCTGTCTTGCAAGAAGGCGGGGGCGAGGAGCAGTCTCATTCATGCTTCCAAACCTGGAGCTGGGAGGCCCATGGGCTGACTCTCTGGGTAAGTCCTGCACTGCCCAGCCCACTCCAAGATCATCAGGGGCAGGTGCTGGCAAGTTTTAAAAGTTCCTGCATAATTTAAATCCACACCCTGGACTCAGGGCCACTGATGGCAAGAAAAGAGGCCAGGGAAGAAAAGCTCCTCCTTCTGGTGAAGGCTGGTCAATAGCCACTGGCCCACCGGCAGGATCAGGTGAGAAACAGACGTGAGGACCATTGGGCAGAGGGAGTCGGGTGCGGGATATTCAGTCTCAAATCATTGCCCCCAATGAAGAAAAACTTACAGCTGGGTAGGATGGCGCAGCCTGTCATCCAGCACTGTGGGAGACTGAGGCAGGAGGACCAAAAGATCAAGCCCCGCTCGGGCAGCTTAGTGACTTAGCGAGAAGATGCCTCAAAATAATAATGCAAAAACGGCTGAGGGTTTAGCTACGTGCAAAAGGCCTGTGTTCAACAAAAAGGATACTTCACAAAGTGGTAAGGACACTGGGCATCCCTGCATTAGATGCCTAGGAGCAAGGCCCGTCTGCCTTAACCAAGGCATTTGGGCTAGCGCCACCCGGGTGGGATGGTCTCATGTCACTGGCCTCCTGATGTGACAGGCAAAGGGGAGGGGCCATCACCATCCCCGGTAAAATTCTCTCCTAAAATGTTGCTCATCAGGAGCCAGTGCCATGGTAGAAGTCTCTGGGGCATGGGTGGCCCTCCCAGACCACAGGGTTGCAGCCATCACCACAGTGATGCCTGGGACCTGAGGGCTGTGCCAGGGTCCGGGGGGGGGGGTGCTCAGGTCTGGGGTGCCTGCACTTTTCTTTGGAGTGGGACCTACAGAGGACTCTGGGTGCCCCATAGGTC